TATGCACTGATGGTAAAAATGAATGAGTATGCATACAGTAAAACTTTGCATCAAATAATATGTAATTTATAGTTTTTAAAGAGCAAAATAATTTTAACTTCACGTGACAAAGACTTTCAACTTCTCACTTTATTTTTTAAATTTCAGCATACTTTAATATCATAAATTTATCAACAAAAAAGATGTTTGCTGACCTGTATGGTATTGTTTGCATCGTCAATTTATCACTGCACAAATCCTAAAAATATCCACCAACAATTTCCTTTTAAAATTTATTAGATGTAAAATTTTAGCTTAATTTCCCCATTATTATAAATGCAAATTTAAAAATATAAATGCATTCTTTTGACCATACATAAAAAAAAGCACATAATATAACGACGCGGATAAAAAAATATATTTCACTAGAAACAAAATACAGTGAAATGTAACCACACAGATGATCAAAAATTATGTTATTCTTTTTTACACATGCGTGTTAATAACTTTATCATTCTATAATTACTAGAGATGAAAAACAAAGAAACAATGTGAAAAACATATAAATATTTTGAAAAGAATAACTAAACGTTAATCTTACCTCTTTCTCAGAACTATTTTTTTCTGGGCATCCATTTTTGCAGCAGTCTAAAATTTCGTTCATTTTTGTTTGCAAATCACGCAACTTCCAAATCACATCGTTTTGCCAGTAGTTCTTGTTACTGTTTTCTGTTACGGCTATTTGTGCTTGCTATAATTTCTAAGAACTACCATGAAATTATTGTGAGAAAGTTATTTTCTAGTTTTTAAGAATCTGTGATTTTTATACAGTAAAAATTGTCTTTTCAAAAAAGTGTTTATAAAGTTATTATTTTTGAAAATGACAATAAAAATTGCGTAATGTAAAAAAATTTATATGAAATTAAACAGGGACAAAGCATTTACTTATTTCATGATTAACCACTTTCAGAATGTATAAAAATAACTTACAGTTATTCTATTGCTCGTTACAGTACTATCGGTCTTAAATTTTGAAGGAGCTGAAAAGCAAAATGCATTTCAAACTTATCAATTAAATATGATGTGGAAAAAAAAGATTAATTATTTGTAAAAATGATATTTGGTGGCAAGAAATGAAGTGAATGTAAAAAATTTGTATTTAATGCATACTGTACGGTCCACTTGTACTAGAATGTGCAATATTAGCATTTGCAGCATATATCCTTGATGTAACTTTAAGCAATAATAATGCAAGTATAATAGTCTGATTCATTGCTGACTACTGCAATTTTTGATTAAAGTTAAATTACTGCTTGATTAGTTGGTAAATAATTTCAGTATCGATTAAATAATTATTCCGTACTTGTTTGACCAAATTTCGTATTATTCAGATGTAAACGTTAACTTTATTTTTTACTCTATTTAACGTTACAGACATTATAAAAAAATTAACTGTTTAAACAGTAAATTCAAAAATTTATTACACGTACGAAGTAAACTTTTTTGATCAAATTTTACAGCATAAAATTTCTCAAATTAGAAAACTAAGTCACAAAAAGTTTTCAAATATATTTGGTGCTAATTAACAAATTTGGGCAATTGTTCATTTTTTAATACAAGCAAATTTTAAGTAACAATTTCGATAGAATTAACTATGAAAAATTGTAAAAACTTCAACAAAATAAGCAGTTTGAACAGTTTGCTATTTTCTTAAACTAAAATGCAAAAAGTTTTACAAACTAAAACTTTTGAGGTTAAAATTTTATAACTGACAACTATTATGTGATAAAAATTAACGCATAATAGTACGAGTACTATTATTGCTAATGATAGTAGATGAAAATAGGTGAAATGATCGCGTCAAGAATGGGTGGTACACTCGAGAGTTGGTTGAATATTTGAATGTTTGGGCTTGAAAACTATACTAAAATGATTCCCTCGCACAAATTTTGTATTATTTTCCTACTTTTGCTACATTTATGATATAAGTTTTACAAATTCCTAAAACGTAATGCTTTTCTTTTTTGCTACAATCATTTATTCATCTCTTCTAAAAAATGCAACAGAACCAAAGGTAAAGCATCTGTAGTTGACTAACATTATGCAATGTTTCTTCCATTTTTGTTAGTTTTTTATTAAATTTATTTATTTTTTTCACAACAGCTAACTGACCAAATGCTTTGCTGAGCAAATTGCATTTTTGTAAAATATTGTTTGCATAAAAAGTTACGTGCATGTGTGTATGTGTGTATGCGTGCGTGTGTGTGTGTGTGTGTGTGTATTTAAAAAAATTTTGATTGCTTTTGTAAAAGCTATGTATATTTTTGTTAACAAAATGCCATGCCACAAACTATCACAATCAAATCACTTTTGCTTCAACTATAGTAGTTTTAAGATCGACTTTTTGTTTCTCATTCAAATCAGCTAAATTACATTTTTTCTAGATGCAAAAAATTCTTTTTTGGCTGCAACAAAAAAAAACTTAAGAACAGGTTGAATTCGTTAAATATTTTGCTTTTTTTGAAATAAATATGAAATATGAAACATTTGCACGCAGGGGATGTAATTGCTTTTGGTCAATTTTTGCCATTAAATATTATCGCTAAAATAATTCTATTTTCAAAAAATTTATTATCAGTTTATTTTTCAATTATTTTGTTGATCAGCTAGTAATTTTAACAATTCAGTACTAAACAATTTCATTAATAATAATAATAATAATAATAATAATAATAATAAATAGTATATAATAGTATGGTCAAATGTAAATTAAATTAATGTATATTGTGCACAAGATATATATTTGACAGTTAAGTATTCATTTGAAGTGATCAACAATAAATTATTTTTTGAGTGTAATTTTATTTTAAATTGTAGTTAATATCATGACATTGTCATGATATTAACTACAATTTAAAATAAAATTTAACAGTAACTTTGTTGTCAATTTGTAAACTATATGAGAGTAAAAAGAAAAGTAACCAAAAGATTACAATGCAAAAGCAATATAAAAAGTTCTATTTCAATAACAATTAATCATTAAAAATGAAAAAATTCAATTCGCAATTCATTCAAAATATAACGAATACTTTTGAGTGTAAATGAGTGTAAATGTGAGTGTAAATGTTTTTTTTTTCATAAATTTTAAAAATTGAATATTCAATGCACAAAATGAAGAACACAATTGCAAGCAACAAAAGCATATAAAAATCATTTTGGAAAGTAAATCTCGAAAGTTTTCAAATCAGTTCTGCTATCATCTTCATTTGTCTGTCGCATGACAAAAAAAAGTTTTCCATGTCATTAAAGAAAATTAAAGCAATTTTTTGCAATGCTTGGCGGATGTGTGAATTTAAAGAAAGCCAAGTAAAAAGAGCAAAGATATATGTAATCATATCTTAGTGCTGCTTTGAAAAAATTACAATCAAAGTTATTATTTAAGTTTACTTTTGTCTTTTTTCATTTTTACAAAAATTTTTGCAATATTTCATGCACTCTATCTGCATTTCGTACATATTAATTAATTTTATTGTTCCATCATTCTCAGCCAATAACTGGGCTCGTTTACTGTTTAAGACTTTTAATTATTGCTAGAGAAGAGAAATAGTTGTAATAACTTGTAATATGTATATCAATATTTAAGAAAATCAAATTAAAAAAATTGAAAATATCTACGGACTAATTCAATTTGTAATCCTGATCGCGGTTGGGGTTTTACTTCCAAATCGTCTTCACATTCATTTAATATGATTGTTTGTTTGCTACTTTTCTGCATATATACACGCAAAATAAACTTTTTAATAATTGGTTCGATTTGCAATTGTTGTATACCAAACAAAAACTTTAATTTTGTTTTGAAGCACAAAACTGAATATGCATTCATCAGATAATGAATATGCACACAATTTTCTTGGTTTATTACTATTTTTCATTTTCACTGCCATAATTTTGCTATTTCATTTTTCACTGCGGCTGTAAAGGAAGCAATTGAATTTATGACATTAGCAAAAAATGCATTTGCTTGTAATTTCATCCATAACATGCATATTTTTAGAATTCTTCTTGCAATTAATTTGATAATCTAATTAGTAATCTTTTTATTAAAAAAATCTGTTTTAATTTCATTGAAAAGAAGATTCACTTTTTCTATATATGGGGAAAAATAACTAAATTTTTATGACGGAAAAATATAATTTAATTTTCTTTCAAACAGCACCTTTCAAACTTTGAAATACTAAGCATTATGTTAATAAATAGAAAAATAAATAATTAAATGAATAAAATATTTAATCACTTCGAAAATATTTGAAAAGCTTTTTAAAAATATTATGATGTACAAAGCATTTTTAATTATTATTTAACAAATGCAGCAGACTTTAAAATTAAGGGCTTGTATGAGAATACTTAAAAATTATTTTATAATATTTAAATTTTTTTTTCCAAAATATTCTCTAAAAGCATTTCAATTTATACAAATCTGAAATACTACTTGAAAAAATTGTAATCATATTCATGTACAAAAGTTCTAATTAATCTTTTGCAAACTTAAAACTAAAAATTTGTGTTTAAGTGTTATTTGAATCTTCGACAAATATTATTTTAATATTTTTTTCCAAACCAAATAGCTGAATTAAATATGCCAAATGGCGCATAAGTTATTTATATCTAAGCTTGAAATAAAGCTAATCAAGAAGAGGAAATTCAATTCTTTTACCAAAAAAGAAGGATTTTTGTGAAAAATGTTCCTCCTTATCAATGTAATTTTTGGCGAAACAAACATTTTCCCCTAGGACTGGCCAAGATATATGTTTTTTTGGACAAGACTAAATCGCCAAATTGAAAAATGCTAATTAGGGTTGTGAGCAGTTTACCGTAGTCAGAACAATAGCAAAATAAGTTTAGATATCATTTTTGGAACAAAATCAAATGAGATAAAGATTAGTTTA